CTGTGAAACCTTTCCCTGYCAGATCCCCGTTTATCCCCAGATTTAACCCTCATTACCCAGCCAGGCCTGCAAAATTGTTAGGGATCTTCTCTTTCTTTGGGCTTCTCACCTATTTTCCAGTCTTTGGCTGATGTTTTTCCTTCCTTTTTGCCAGTTTCAAGTTTCCACTCCGACACCAAATGCTCCCCTCTTTTCCTACCGCTGTTAACACGAGGCAGATCAAACAAACACAAAAGTGTTTTCTCAAAAAATAATCATTAAGCGTATCGCCGAGTTTGGTTCATGTGACAGCTGAATATTTGTTTCATTAATAAGTCATTTGCAATTAATTCCTGGAGTCATTTCTAAAAGAACATTGTGATGTTTCCATGGTTTTAAAGTGGCAAAACACCAGTCATTCTCTGAGAAAATTTCAGTGCAAAGTGYTCATAGGCATCCGCTGGAAAAATCCAGCCTGCAGTGAGGAGTGTCCCTGTGCTGTGAGAATGTGGCTCCTGTTAGTGGTGAGGCACCTACTCACAACATGCAAATACCTGCAGGGTTTAGGGTTTGGAATTTCAGGTGCATGGATGTTCATGCTGCTCCTTTCAGACGATTAGTAATAAAATTATTGTAGTTAAGGAGTTTTTTCCATTTAAGGCTCACAAAAAAACTCTTCCCTATGCTGGAAACGTAACAAAATCTCCAATAAAATGGTTCCGTTTCTCTCTTTTCAATCAAAAGGCTGGATGAGCAAGTTATAGTTATCCTGCCTTCAGAAACTGAAGATGCTCCAGCTCTCGAGGGTTCCTGAGGCTCTAAAATCACACCAGGATGAGAGCCTTTCCTTGGAGAACCAGGGGCTCCATCCTCAGCCTGCCAAGGTCACCTTCTYCTGGGGATGGAACGGGCACCATTTGCATTGATGTCCCATTAAGAATTAAAWAACAATTTCCCATCTTTCACAATGCTCTTTCCAACCTTACGAACCGGCACAATTTGGGAATAAACAGCACAAGAAAGTGTCTCTAATCCTGGGCATCAGCACCACTTTCACTCTAAATCCCGAGTCCTGACACGTGGCCAGMAAGGATGAAGGACATTTCTAAGCCGTAGAAACAATTACAATTGTTGTCATCTCACCTTGTCAATAACCTTCCCCCAAAATTACAGGTTAGARAGGTGTCTGTAATCATTAACAGCCTGGAGGAGAAGCACATTACCAAAGCAACAAACCTCTAATCAACAGAGTGGGAGCAGTGCAGAAGRGAAAAATAACTCCTTAACGAGCCAGTTGCAATAATTTTGTTTAAAAAAAACAAAGATCTTACTTGGCGCATATAGTTACCACCCCACAGTGGCAAAATTGACGTGTTGGAAAAAGTGAGCATCTTAAATTTATGCCTACTTGGGAATGTAATTTGCTGGAATTACACTTTCAGAGAGAAGTGCTCGCAGGTTTTCATATTCAGCAGCAAGAGGACTAATTCTATCCATGAAATGACAGAGCTCTGAAATGACACAGAGAGCTGGCAAAAAAAAAATTGTCAAATATTTGCTTTGCAATTAAAAATTAAGACAAAATATTTTAAAAAYGCCCAGCTTCAAGCATCCTAAAGGAGATGAACACGTAACAAACGTGGTCTGGAAAGAAAAGTTCTAGAYTCACAAAATTCTTCAAGTGGAATGGTTTTTAATGTGTCGTGAAAATCAGGTTAAAATGAATCTTTTAAATGTTATTGCAATGCCATAACTTATGGGCTAAAAAATTAATAAAGTTGGATAAGAGGATCTATAAAATATCCTGTAAGAAAAAATGGAAACAATCAATTTTGTACCTTCCATCAATACCAAAGGAGTTGCTACACAACTATTTCTATGATAAGATGTGACTTCGCTTTGAATGCAATTTGCAATCTATTAACTTGATCCAGTTTTCACTGAAGGAAATGAAAAGATTACCATTGACTCCAGTGAAAGCTGGATTAGACTCTGTTCACATTCACAGTGGGGAGAAAGAAAAAAAAAAACCCTTAATGATTATTTATGCCAGAAATTCCAGTGTAAAAAGCAAAACTGGTGCAAATGGGTTGAAGAATTTGAAGAGAAAAATGAGCACAGTTGATATAAAACATAATTCCACTAAAAAGTAGAGATTACTAATTACTCTGAATACGCTTACAGAGAAGCTATAGATGTAATTAAATGGCACAAATATACTTGGAAATCCAATTATAGCGATGGAGCAATGATTGCACAGTTGCACGAAGAGTTAAAATAAAATATGATAGCAGATAAATGGGTATATTAGAAAGGCATTATTAGATTTCCTTGCATTTATCCACCACTGAGTGCCACCAACCCTTCGAGCCAGGGACAAATAGGAGAAATAAGACAGGGGAGAAAGATTGAGTTCTCYTGCTAAATACAGTCAGCAAAAACTGAGATATTTCCACTGAAAAAGATAAAATGGGAGACACCAGCTACCAATACATGACATGCAACAAATCAAAATCCCGAGTCTTATTTGCAGTCCTGCAGTTCCAGCAGAATTAYCAACTTTTGTAAACACCGAACCATAAAAGGAGTAAAACTCAAAAAAGGATTTACTGCAGGAAGTCAGAAAATCTCTGAGAAAACACAATATACCAATAAAGAGCCAATTATTGCAACCATCAATATTCGGCAGTGGACTATCAGGGCAAAGATATGCAGATTCCATTAGGAAAAAATACAGCCATGCCTGTCCTTTGGCAGGAGAACATTACTTAGAGAGAGGAAAAGGGACCAGCACTTTATTTGTGGGTTTAAATAATAATTTGATACTTTACCCATTATGTCRAGAAATTAACATTTAGAGGGAAAAAAATGCATGTCCCTCTCTGATTTAAAGCAAAGTCAGTTCTTTTTCTGCTTTCTCTTGTCCTTGGAATTCACATTGCCTTAAAATATATGGATATTTATGGCATGKAAAAGGTATTTATAGTATATTCAAGGTTTGCCAACTTTTGAAACCCGAGGGAAATATTCACCAATTGCCAGTAACTCGCTCATCTCTCTTACAACCTTACCTGGTTTTAAAATTCAAACACAGACCAGGCACAAGTTGCAGGAGGTTTTAGTGAGAATTCTTCTCTGGTGAATTGGGAAGTGGTTCTTTGGGATGTTCCCCATTAAAACACCTGCATTCAGCCCTATTTCCCAGTTTATCCCCATTTTGCAATCACAGGGAGAAGGCTCATAAGGGATTTTATTTTATGAGGTCACAGAGACTGCATCTGTCCCTCCCCAGGCACAAGTTTGGCTATTAACTTCATCAAGGTGGGGGAAAAAAGAATTAAAATAACCCCTAAACCAGTCTTTTATTCTGCTTTTGCTGCAGCACCACAAACAGAAACATCCACAAGCTCAGCTCTGCCTTGGCTAAGCAAATCTCATAAATGTCTRAATTTCCCATTATGGCCATGATTTCTAGAGGGAGATGAAATCTTTACCTCTCTCTAAATTGATGGGAGTCTCCCTCCTCCCTTCAGATGCCAGAATATGGAAGTAGAAGACTCTCCCTCTGAAGGCTGTATTTTATAATACTCTGATGAGATGCCTTTTGATTTAGGGTTGGCATGAAGGAAGAAAAAAAAAACCCCGTGTAGTCTGCCAGCTCATCTAACCCAACTTTAATCACTTTCTGTGGAGACAGCTATATCTGAGCCACTCATCTAAAATCCCTTTAAAGTCAATGGTGAGAAATAGATGTTTTTAGGATGCAATTAATTGATTGGAAGGAAGAGGGATCTATCACATATGGGAAAGAATTATGGCCCAAAGGGTTCTACTTTTCCTCATTTGCTTTAGAGGAGTTCACACATCTGCATTTGAACAGTCACCCAGGACAGGTGAGAAGAATATCCCCAACCTCTGTTAACAAATCTCTCTTGGTGATTTTTAATCTGGTTTCCTGCTCCCATCCCTTCTGTTCCCACACCAAATCTCTCCTGAGATATCAGTTTGGGGTTTTTTTTGCATTACAAGCCCATTAACCCCTCAAAGAAAGGGGTTCATCCATCTGATGCTAAGGAAAATTTTTGGGCCACACCCTGGGGCCAGAAGAACTGTTCCGATAGGTTTAAATGACACACTAATGGATATTTTCATGCCAATTGTCACAAAAATATTCAGAATAAGACAAATAACAAAAAAATTCCTGGAGTTCTGCCACTCCTCCAAGGGGCCCTTCAGGTCCCAGGACCATGGGTGGCCACCACCAAAGTGTAACAGAAAATTATGGTGGACACACAGGGTTTATGGAGACAAAGAAAAACATTCCCCTCAAGAAGATGTGGCACATCTGTCACCTTGAACACTCAGCAAACTTCTGGGGGAAGAAAAAACTAATAACAATAAATTTCCCTTCATCAAGTGAGACCCAACAAAGCCAACTTGAAACTAATTTTGCCAGACTTGAACATTGCAGGGCCCCCCAAAACCTTTCCTTTTGCTGCTCTGCCACCCCCAAACACAACCCCTGTGCAATTTCTCTCTGCTCTGACRAGCTGGTGAAGCACAGCCTATTTCCTCTCACCCACCAAAGAGCACCATTGTGCTGCAGGTCTTTGAGGAATCTGCTGCTCACTCTGACATGAGGGAGTCAGTTTTGTTTCATGTTTCCCCTCGTTCTGGGCATTCATCTTCAAAGCTCCTCRCACGCAACCGGGGAGCTTTAGAAGCCTATCAGGGGCAATTCAAAGAGCTTTGCACGGAGCAGGAGGGGGCTCCCGTTCAAAGCTGCAGCTTTGCATCCGCCAGAGAGGRGCAGATTCAAACCCAAAGAGGTCACTTCACCTACCTGTAGTGGGATCTCATATTCAGAAGACTCTGACTAAAAATAAGGGGTATTTAGCCAGTGTGATAACTGAAACCCTCKAGGCGATGCTCTTTCTCTCTCTCCCTCACACACAGAGCAATGTCTCCTTTGGAGAAAACCTCAAAACTCTGGGAGATATAATGGCCTCCAGAAAACTTACTGGTAGATCAGCTCCAGCTGTAGCATCCTCCTGGTTTCAGCACAAAAGTTTCCAGCGAGCTGGACCACCACAAACCTCTGCTCAAACTGCCTGAAACAAGAAAACCACAATAAACCCTCATTCAGTGCAGGATAGAGGGGTAAAAACACCAATTTCTTTCAATTGGTTTCAATTTCATTTCTTTACCCAATCTAATGCAATAGAGAGGAAATATTTTCCTTGGTTCAGAAATTACCAGTTCCATGGTCAGAGCTKGGAGCCCCTGAATGACAAAAGGGCTCTGCTTGGTTGGGCACTGTCTAAACACAGAAAAATTCAGAGCTGCTTGCCCCAGAATTTACCATTYACCCAGGAAATATAGAAAAATTCAGAAAAAAATATTGCTGTCTGCAATTTATACCCGGAGAATTGAGATAAGGAGAGATGCAGGTTCAGGTACAGGTGTTTGATATCATTGATGAGGGTAAGAAAATCAGAAAAGGATCAAGAGAAGCAGAAGCATCATGGATTTACGGATTATCTGCAGGGTCTTTGTATCAGACACTTGATGTTTTTTAAATCAATTTCGATTAAATCATTGTAACACCTGATTTTATGAGAYGCAGTAGYCCTGGATCCATGTTTGCTGCTGGGAGAGGGCAGTGGCACCTCTGGGCTTTAACCCCACTGCCCTGGATTAGCAGGGTCTCTCTCCCTGATCCCATCTCCCACCTGATGCGGCCACATCCCTCCCCTCCCCACCACAGACACAAATCCCACCTCTGTACAGCTTCTCCCATCTACAACAATTCTTCAGTTTTTGTTGTCTCCAAGGGCTTTTTTCCCCCTTTTTTTTAAATACTGGATTAAAATGCACGTCATCCTGCACTGGTTTCTCAGCCTCCTCTTACTCACATTGTATTTTTATTAAAAGATGTAAAGCCTTTGGGACAGCCTGTGCCTGAATGGTGCTTCACAGATACACTTGCATTACTCCCCATATAATTTTTTTTTTCTTTTTATCAGAATTCCCTGGGTTTGTTTTTCTTTTAACCTCAATTTAAACATCCCCTCCATTGCCATGCTTCATTTTGCTGCAGTGCTGACTGTGGGGTTTCAGGTTYGCTGTGCTCCCTCCACGTTTGGGTTATAACAGCAGGCCAAGATGGATCATAAACTTTATATCTGATTCTGTTTCTTATGTAACATTCGTGGGGTTTTTTCACAGTTTTCTACTTGGCAAATGCATTATTCCTTTAAAGTACATGATCAAGTATACAGGGATCTGGGAGATAATGTGAAAATTTAATTTCATTACCAAATTATGCTTGTGCTGCACATACACAGGTACAGCCCAGTTTGGACAAGGCATCTCTCACAAAAAGCTGAGCATTCCAAGCCCCTTTCATACCGTAAGGAGCACACTCTGTGCTGCACAATCTGCTCTCAGGGTGTTTCCAGCCCTGCTTTTTGCACTGTGTTCCCTTTTGTCCCTATTTTATCCTCACTCCTGGTGCTCTCACACTGACCCCACCTGGAGCAAGGAGGCTCCGTGGCTCTTTGCTRAAAGAGCAATTGATTTATGCCCCGAATCTTTCCCAGGCTGTAAAACAGCATAAAAGCACAAATGAAGAGCCTCACACTATTTTTCTTCCTGCTGCGTGCAATCAAGCCAGAAAGTGTCCCTTACTCCCAAAAAAATTGCAAATTACCCCGGCATACCTGAGCCACCAGCAGCCACACGACATTGGGAATATTTCCCCCTATTTGTTGTCCTCCTGCTGAGCTCYTCCTTTCCTGCTTCCACAGAGCCTGGAAACAAAAATCCTGCATGTGAATGAAGCACTAAACCTTTGCCACCAAAATATGTGAATAATTTTTGAAGAATTTCACATCACTTCGGATATTGCGGAGTTGACCCCGTGCATTTGTGGGGTCTGAAAGGGAAATGGATTCAATGCAGCCAGGAAATAATCACGGGAAAGCATTTTGGGTCCAGCCAAAGATGAAGTGAGGCAGCCTATTTTCTTCAAAGCAAGCTGAGGCCACTGCTCACTACATTCAAATACATCAATTATAGAGGGTTTTAATGGAAAAGGATTAAAAAGTACAAAGGTAAAAAAAACAGCATCACTGCCATGCCCAGGAGGATGAAACAACTTCCTTCTGTGTTGGGTATGGTTACAGAATTGCTGAAAAAATGAAGGGAGRAGGAATGGCAAAAAGGGTTTGTGTACCTTGACCAGAATTGCTGTGACAGTGACATAAACTGCAGCACCTGCATTGTGGAATTTAGTCCCCARGCCCCCAGTCTCACTGCCAGCACTCAGATCAGAACTCTGGTTCTGTATTTCCTCTTTCTTTCTAGCCAGGTCAGTACAGTTATTTCATCAATGCAAATCTTAAATGAGGTTATTTTTCTCTAAGTCTCTTCAGTGGTGCCTGCACTGTCCCAGGTCATGGCAAACTGTTYCCTTCACTCCAGTTCCATCCATGTTCCCATTTTCAAGATCTGCACCATTCAGCTCCATCTTCCTCCAAAGTTTGGTATCGAGTTCTTCATGTGCCTAATTTGGGCTTAATTCGAGCCCGGGGYAAATCGTTACAACTCAGATGAAGTCAATAGGAGCGCAGTGACTTACATCAGCTTTGTGTCAGTAAATACTGACAAGATTGATCTCAAACTTTTTCAGAACAAAAGATTTCTGAAGATGGATTAAACAACATAAATGCTGAGCTGTTTTGCCAGGCTGCAAATGGCATAACACAAGCTTTGTGTGACATCTCTGAATTATCCCTCCGTGGTAATGTTGACATTACATGGTATTGACTCATGGAAGAAGCTTAAATACCCTTTTAAGTTTTCAAGACTCTTTGACAAAGCACTATTTCATTAACAAAATGTTAATGGAATCCAGGAAGCCTGGGTCTCCAGAAGAGCCTGCTGGCTGCCTGGGAGATGGGGCTGCACAGAGCAGAGCAATTCTTGTTTGCAGACAACAGCAAAGGAAGCATTTCAAGCAGGGAGGAGGACCCGAGGGCACTTCCCCAGCCCTTCACTGAAGGACTACCACACCTTCTGCTGGAGAAGGTCAAAATAGCACAAATTAGGAAATGCATCACAGAGAGGGAACCAGCAGGGACACAGGGCTGGCATCAGCTTGGAGATGGGGGAAAAGGAGAAGGGCCTGGAGAGCATTGCCATGGGGATCAGCTGCTCTGGGGGCACCTGGGGGAACGGGGTAATTGTGTGCCTGCAGATGAAATTGTTGGCTCCTGCAAATCACAGAATTTAGGTTRGAAAASRCCTCTAAGATCATCGAGCCCCTCTGTTGATGACACCATGGCTCTCAGGTAAGTTCAGGGTTTGAATCTGATAGATTTGCTGCTGGGAACAGGTCTTGGCTTTCAGGATCCTGACCCAGTCCAGATTTGGTGGGGAGGCAGGGGCAGCAGAGCTGGCACAGGGGTCCCCTGTCACCCCCCAGGACCATGGGGAAAGTGCCACCACCCCGCTCAGCAGCTGAGATTGGGTCTCACCCCAGCCAGAACCCCCGACCTGTGACCAGCAGAGAGCAGTTCCTTTCCTTCAGAGACCAGCAGATAATTTATGAACAACCACGCACAGATCTTTTCACCAATAAACTCAGAATTATTTCAAATGCTGCTCAGGACTGTGCCATGCTCCCAGACCTTTCCAACACTGACCTCTGCAGAGAAACCCAAGGGAAAGGGGAAAACCTTCTCAAGAGCAAAGCTGACTCACACACCAAGTAGTCAGATTTTCAAATTTAAGSTTTTCTGCCATTTTCTATGGCTGCAGTTGCTTTATGTAATAAGGAAAGTCATTATTAAGCAAAAAAGATTTGCAGATATGGCAGGGAAATGCTAAACCTCTGTCCATTTGACAGCACTTTGTACAGCAGCAGCCTCCACATTTCCTCCCAGGGGTTCATTTCATCTGTTCCATGAACTCAAACAAGTGCAAGAAAATAATGTTAAAAAAATAAATAAAACAAAGAAATTAAGAGTTCAGTGCATAAATGCAACACTTGACTGAGGCACTCAAGGGCCACCTTGCTGCCTRAAACCACTTCTTTTTAATTGTTTACATTTCAAGTTGATAAAACCCACAGTAGTAAAGATAACTTCGCCTGACTTGCAGTAGAAGCTGAGATAAGAAGCTGATGGGGAGGGGGGGAAATCTCTGAGATGTGTTTGTGTGCATTTGTGAAATATATTAAAAATTAAAAATAAATTAAGAAAGAACCACACACAAATAAGAGATGCCATCAARCACAGCAGGGTTGTGAAACACAGCTGCCCCCGGGTCCTGGTGGCTGAACTGAGGGGGAAATAAGAAATAACCCAGGGGAGTGAGAGGAGAGCCCCATGGGATTCATTGCACCCTGCCTTCACCTCCAGCACGATGGGATCAGGAGAGGGTTGGAAAGGAAGATGAAGATCCCCTGAGTGATGGACACATCTGAGTGATGGACAAAGAGCTCATTCCCTGGCTGAAAACAGGAATTTGGGGGTAACAGCAAAAGCCAGGTGAGTGAAGTGACACTGGGGCACTTCCTCTGTCCCCAGGCAGTGCCTCTTCCTCCAACAGCACCTCATCCTCAAGAGTTTGGGAATCCAAGTGAAATGATCTGTGCCTTGAGAGGTGAACAATGAACAACCACACCACCAGCAGCCTGATGGCCAGAAGATAAATCCTCTGCAGAAAGGGAGGAAAGGTTTTGTGCCAGGAGATGATTCCTGTTTGAAAGCACCTTGCTGCTGTCCAAAGGAGAGAGGAAAGCTGCACGGCCTCAAGGCTRCTTGGCTGMRCTGCTCTGATGCTGAGGAACCTGCAAATCCTCTGCTCAGGGGMTTTGCCCCAGCATAAGGCAATCCCACAAACTTTATTCATCACCAAAACACGGGAGAAAAGTGCCCAGAGCACATCCCAAAGCAGCTCCAAAACCCTCCAGCTAAGAGACTTTCCTCAAACACTTGATGTAACTAAACTGGAAATCTAAGATTGAGGTACTTCAGGGATAACCAAATAAAGTCCTGGAGGGTTGCTGTGGTGACAATGACCACACCAGAACAGCCTCTGCACAGGATTAACACAGCCCATCAGCACAGGATCCAGGTGAGCTTTCAGGGCTCCAGTTTCCTACCCATGTGGAAGTTCAAAAATTGAATAAAAGAGACAGGGAGAGCACACAGAGCATTCCTCAAAGTTTTCTTGGATAATACTGTAGGTTTCAGTATAAAACWATTTAAAGGACTTTCAGAAAAATCAGAATTCAAGGGGAATCGAAGGAGAAAGATATTTTGATCTCGGCTGCAAAATGTGGCACTCWCTCAAGGACACTGAACTTTGTGATCTCTCCAGGGTCACGAATTTTCCACATGAATTAACAGACGTCCTTTGAGCTGCAGAGACCGAGCAGGATTTTATCCCGGCTGAAGATCTGCCCCACGATGTTCACATCCCATTKCCAGGAAAGCATCTCCCACCCTCCAGATAGCCTTGGTCAGAGCCCTCTGTGAATAAGCACTTTATAATGTGAGACACTTGCTGTGCACTGGGTCACTGGAGCAGGGTTGAGAAAGGGACATTCACATCTGAAGTCACAAATCTCCACAGCCAACGCTGAAAAAATTAGCTCTGTCTCAAAGGCTCTCACAGACCTAAAGAGGATCAGCAGGATGGGAGAGAAGATTGCTGCAGTGTGGTGGCAAAGGTTAGGGAAAGCTGGAAACCTTCAGGTTTTGGGAATCAGTCTGTGTATGGAACAACAGTTTCTTTCCTTCTAAACCTGAGACAAATACAGGTTGTGTTTGTCCTGCTCTCAGGAAAACCTGCCTTCAAAATCTCTCATTTGCGCAGGATAAAAACACTCCAGAGGTGCAAAGACAACAGGAAGGCAGCGGTTCTGCAGAAGGGGCATTTTAATTCTAAACCCCACTGCATTCCCCTCGTGATTACACACATTTCTGTCCATTCTCTACACTTACACCCAATATTTTTCTTCAGCTGCCTTGTTTATCCACAAGTGCAGGCACCATAAATTAAAAAAAAAAACCAACAACTTGGAAACACTTACAAAAAATCCCAAACAACAAACTGAATAACACTTGCAGTTGTATTAATATAAAACTCACTGGACAGACCTGGCACTACACAGGAGTATTTTCTTTCCCAGTCCTAGGAAGGAGCTCAGTTGAGCAGAGTTTAATTTAACTGAGCTGAGCTGTCTCCCAACCTCCTTCCTGCTACTCAGCTGCCTCTCCCCAGATGTTCCTCAAGGAAAACATCCATTCCTGCAGAAGGAAAACACCTGTGTAGTACCAGGCACTGCAGATTGTCCTGAGGTGAGAGGGTATTTGCTATCTCCAAGGGACAATTCTGGGAATCAGCCTTTTTTAAAAATCTCTGGATGGGTCTTTAAATCAGAGATTAAAGAAGTGAGAAAAGGTTTACAAAAACTGATAATCCCAGCCCGGCCACCTTCCAATCATAAATACTTGTCATTCTTAGCATAATATGCAGCCTTCAATATAGAATTGAGTTTGTTTCAGGCACGTTTAGGTGCCCTATAGGAATGGTTTTATGCCGCTTTTATTCCTAAAGAACTTCAGATGGGCTGGGACCCATCATCATTCATCATGTCAGCCCTCTCTGGGTACTTACACACACTTTGTCTGCTCGGCTTTATCTGAGAGCCAGCCTTGGGTTTTATTAATTTCCACTGGTTTGCACAAACTACAGAGCTCCTGCGCTCTTTTATAAATGATCCCAGAACTTAGATCCA